AGCGCCAACCTTTGCCTCATGGCACACGAGGAACCACCGGAAGAGGTATGTACCACTTCTAAAGATTCCTATACTTTTGATGATGTACAAGAAGCCTTTAATGAACTTTATGATGAATATGTCAACGCTTCTAAAATTAACAAGGATTTGAAGAAACAACTTACTTCCATGGAGAAGGAAGTTGATAAACTATCAAAAGATAATGAAAAACTTAAGGAAGAAAATAAGTTTTTCGGAAAAAGAAGCGCCGACAAACCAGAAAGTTCAAAATGTAGTTCTTGTATATCACTTAAGGATCAAGTTGCAAAACTTGAAGGAACTTTGAAGAAGTTTGGTGTTTCTCATAAAAACCTTAATGATGTTCTTGACAATTTGCAACTTACTAAACATGGCTTAGGTTTTGAAAATGAACCTAATAATAAAGAAAAAGTTGAGCAACCATCTAGGAAACCTAAAGCTCAACTTAGGAATAATGGAAATCAAGAAAATAGACAACCTAGAACAATTAGGAACACTAGACCACCTAGAAAGAACACTAGGATGAACAATGGTCAAGTTAGAAAACCTAGCAACTATTATCAACCTAGGAGAATGCATAATCCAAATGTTATTTGTCATCATTGCAATAGGGTAGGTCATATAGCACCCGTGTGTTTTAGTAGGCATAAGCATTACACGTATAACAAAACACACACTTTGCATGGAACTAACCTAATGAAATCCTTTGAAAAAGGATATTCGAACTCTAACCAATCCCTGCAGGAATCAACGCAAAAGAAACCATATTACTTCTTCTATTATGATGAAAAGAAGAAGATTCACATACCACTTTCGGAACCCACACAAATCAAACCGAGATATAGACATTCGGTTCGAGTAGACTGGAACCCGCCAACCGCAAAACGACGAGTTGGCCAAGATAACACTTAAACACGCGTGTTGGTACATGTGTGTGTGTGTGTGTTTGCGTACCATGTGTATGTGATTATGGGTGCGTGTGTTTATTAGTTTAAAGAGTCGTGTTACTAATCATCAAGGACCCAAAAGACCAAACGCGTACCAAAATGTTTTCATTGTAGGCGTTGAAGTCAGAGGGAATGTGAACAATCGATTTACAGGCTTGTGATAATCGACTATCACAACCCACAAGAGTTGGTGCAAAGAAACTGAAAAAGGCAACAATCGATTATCAACATAAGGATAATCGACTATCACTGCCCGCAGAAGTTTGTAGCAAATCTACCACAAAACTTCAACAATCGATTAATTCAAGTCATGATAATCGATTATATAGGGCTGCAGAAAATTCTCTGAAGTCAAGTGCAAACTTCAACAATCGATTTCCAACAACAAGGAAATCGACTATCAAAGCCTGCAGTTTCTTTGGCGGAGAATCTGAAGACTCAGATAATCGATTTACAAGTTGGGTAAATCGATTACCAACGGTAGATTTTCAAAAATCTGACCGTTTTCTAACCGTTGGAACTGCATTAAACTCACATTTGACCACACCAACGGATCTTCAGGCCTTCTCAACTATAAATTGGTGATATCCCTTCATTGTTTACTCATTCCAATCATCCTCTCTCAAATATTCATCATATTTCTTCAATTCTTGCTATTGTTCTTCAACTCTTAGCCAAATTTTCTGCAATTTTTCTCTTCTCCCTCTCTACTTTGTTGAAATGGCAGGAGGTCAAAGAAAACGATCTCGCACCGGGAAGAACGTTGCTTCCTCCTCGGCTCCTCCTCCACCACCGGCGCACAAGTACCTCGATGGGTCGTTCCTTTGGTTCAACGACCGCGCAGAGGCGACGCGGTTCTCGAAGAAGTTTGAACACCGGGAAATTCTCCCTCCCCGATTCTCCACCGCCCGCTTCATTCATGACTCCATTCCACGTGAGGCACGGGTTATCCTCGAACGTGGAAACTTCCTCGACCTCCTCTACATCAAGAAGGCCAATTATCACCCCTTTCTTATTCGAGCTTTCTACTCGAACTTAAAAAAGGATGAGGACGGAGCGTTGATCTCTAACGTCAACGGGGTGGACATTTATTTGAATGAGGAAAACATTCAAATCCTCACCGGGCTTCGTCGGGACGGACAGGATCTCGGGCTCTACGTCGGAGAAGAAGGAGCACGGTTCAATGAGACCGCTCTCTTAGAGGAAGTGGGCATCCGACACTTCGTCTCCACTCCCCAACATCGACGCCCTACTATTGCTTCCATGAGTCCCGTGTTTCGATTCATTTTTTATGTTTTGACACGGATTCTCAAGCCTAGGAAGTTCAATCACACCACTCTCTCCCAGGAGGACACGAAGACAATTCATGCGATGATTCACAACGCCAATATCAATTGGTGTAAATTTGTGATGACTCACATGTTCAACGCCACCTCCGACAACCGGCCGCTCCCCTATGCTCTCCTTGTCATGGCGGTCCTTGATGAGGTCCACATCCAGACGGACGTCGGGCCAAAATGCAAAGGAACAAAGCATTGGGAGATTGACGAGTCTTCCTTCCACCCGGGAACCGATGAAGCTACGTTCCCGCAGCCTCGTCCTCACCGCCAACCAAGAGCCACTGCCTCGACCGCCGCCGCTTCAACCAACCCTTCTCTTGCCGAGCAAATGGCGGCTTTGACCACCACCCTCTCTCGGATAGACACCAACGTCTCTAAAACGGCACACAACGTCAATATCTTGAGCCGTGAGCTTCACGGGTATTTTGACTTTGTCAATTACCCGTACGCTCAAATGGTCCCCTACGTTCCTCCACCGAATTTCGGAGGTGAACAGAGTGGGACTCAAAACGTTGGTAGGGACGACGCGGTGGACGAAGACGAAGAAGAAGAAGAAGCCGATGATGATGATGATGATGATGGCGATGGTGATGAAGATGATGAAGAAGAAGAAGACATTGACGAAGAACAACTTCTCAATGATCTTTCCCCGGATTTCTAGAGCTCTAGCTCTACTTTCTTCTCTTCCTCATTTTATCATCTTTTAATATGCTTTCGTTATGTACTCCGCTATTTCCCTTAATTAATTAATAAAAATCTTTATGATTTTTGTTGTTAACAATCTTTTTGTTAATGTCAAAAGGGGGAAGATAAGGGCTATTCATATATTAAGGGGGAATTTTTATTAAGGAGGAATTGTTTTTTCTCAAAAAGATCAAAACCCTATGCATATCCCCGTCTTGTTTGCCATTATCAAAAAGGGGGAAATTGTTGGAACACACTTTGTAAGATAAACTAAAGTCGTGTTCATTTCTGATATGTTTTGATAATTGTCAAACCGCCGTGGATATAAAGAGTTTCGTTGAATAACTCAAGGCGTGAAGAATGGCTTGGAACAAGACCTAAAAGACTCAAGGACAAGATCAAGAATTGAAGACTTAGTCGAGTCGGTCTTTTGTGATCAAAACCGACAATAAATTCAAGTCTCGGTTCTCAAAAAGTCAAAACAATTTTTACAAATCATAAAATATTTTTTATGCATCAAAACAAACATTTTTGATGATTTCTTTTATTGTTAAAATCCCTGGTCCTTGCTCGGAACCGAAACCACCTAAGTCGGCGTTCGGCTTTCGGCTTTCGACGTTCGGTTTTTGGCGCCCGAACCAACTCCGTGGTTTTCAATATTTTAAACCCTGTTTTTACTTCTTAGCATTTTTAAAATGTTCCCAAATAATTATTTTAACC